AAAAAAAAAAAAAAAAAAAAAAAAAAAAAAAACCTGTGACCAACCTCATCGGCCCTGAATTGGTCCAGGCCCTGGCAGCAACAGACACCCATGTAGTACGTAGGCTACTCTGGGGCATTTACTGACTTGGAAGTAACCCAAGTTATTTCCATTACAAGTTGGAACACTTGTAATGGGCTTTCATACGAAGATCCCCTCAGCTTTTTTCTTTTCTTACTTATTGAAATTCCACATGTGTTCTATTCAGTTCTACATTTACTAAGAGTTTCTCAACCTTAGCACTATTCACATTTGGGGTTGGACAATTCTTTATTGTTCTGTGTACTGAAGGATATTTAGCAGCATCCTTGGCTTCCACTCACCAGATGCCAGTAGTACTCTTTCTTCAGTTATGTTAACCAAAAAGTTTCTCCACATTGCCAAATATCCCCTGCGGGGCTAAATCACCCCAACTAAGAACCTCCGACCTAACTGTAGCCTCAGTCCAGTAAAATGGGGAGAAACTCTTTTTAAGGAACCCTTGGGAGGAGGAAACAAGATCACAAGAGTTGTGATCCAAAGCCCCGTTTTTCTACAGGTGAAAAGATCTGCAAGTACACGAACATGTGCATCTTATAAAGAGTTTGGGAAAAAACCAGAAGGTGTAAACTGGTCGCAATCAATTAGGGCTAAGACATCTTCACCCTAAAAAACTTTCCATCGCCAGTATATATACACATCTATATTTAAAACTAAATACCATGTGTGCAAGAACGATATGGCCCCTTAATTTTTATTACAGAACAAAGCTAGCCCAGAACTACAGTATTCATGTAATTTCGTTTTGTTCACATTTTTTCCCATTTTCCAAGCAAAAAGAAGCGAGGACAAGAGGAGAGTAACCAAGGAAGAGGGCTGAGGCTGCACAAGCGCAGAAGGAAGCCGCACCACAGCATACGGATGGTACATCCACACGTCCCCTCACTCACTCCTCAGAGCAGAGGTGCTCTTCTACAGAGAGGACATCCAAGTCAGAGAAGGTAAACCAAGTAAGCAGCGAGCCAGGACTCAACCAGGGGAAGGAGGAAGCAGGCAGAAATGGTGAGAGTGACCAAGCCAGCAAACTTAGAAGAAAGACAGTGCACGTCGACTGGGAATGATGGCTTCACGTCACTGTCCCACCCCTCACTGGTGATGTGACCTCTGGCAAGTGACCTGCCATGAACCCCAGCTTCCTTTTTGTAAATAAGAGAGAAAACCATCATCAATTTCACAGGATTCTGGTCTAGTGAGGTGAGTTTAGGAGATGAGGCAATAATTTGGGGAACTATTCTGAGAAATGAACTATACACACCTGTCAAAATTTTTTCTATAACCAGACTGTTAGAGCAGCTGTCGGAGGGACTAGTCCCTGGGTTTTATTCTTTGAAAGTGATCAGACAGAAAATGACATTACAAGAAAACATATGAGAAAAGAGACCAAAAGCCCACGGGGCCACGTCTGATGGGCAGCTGGGCAGGGCAGTGAGAGTCTGGCAGGGACTGCTGATGGGGTATGTTTAGGAATTATCTGAGTTTATTCACTGGGCCCCATGGTTTCTCAGAATTTCCTCCATAAAACTGAACTCACAGTCAAGAGAGCTAAAGAATTTTCTAGACATTTTACCACTTAACTTGGTGTCTTAAGGGCACAAAGGCAGTTGAGCAAAAGCATCAAAATAAATGTTGATTAAATCATTAGCATTTTTGCCCATATAGTGAAGCAAGATCTGATGACTTCACTCACAACTCTCATAAAGAGAGTTAACAAGTGAACATGCAATTTTTTTTAAAAGAGGAAGTATACCAACTTAAAAGCTTATTTAACTCCCTAGTCCACCCCCCACCAGTCTCAATTTATTTTGCTTTTTCTCAAACACTAAAATTCAAGACTTCAAAAATTTTAATAGTGTCTAAGAGGCGACTCTCAAAAAGCACTCATATTTTTAGGTTTGTATGGAATGTCAACTTAGTTCTTATTTTATTTCCCCTAACCTCATAAACAAAACCTAGGCAACACACGAAAGAGTCAAGCATTTATTTTTGATTTGTATTATCTAATATTCTCCAACCTGGCCTCCAGGATATAAGTCTATCAAAGTATCAACTGAGTTAGCTCAGAACATGTACCTGAAAGAAGCCAACTAAAACTCACAGCTTTTGGTACTGGAAAACGATGTCAGAAAAACAAGTTTTACTAAAGTAAACTGCTGCTGCTCACTTAACCTGGATACTAAGATAGTATTCAACTATCAAAAGAACCAATTTTTGCAAACTACTATTGAAATGAGATGACAAATTTTTTTTTTTTTGGCCACACCACACGGCTTGTGGGATTCTAGTTCCCCCATCAGGGATTGAACCCGGGCCCTCCGCAGTGAGAGCACGGAGTCCTAACCATTGGACCACCAGGGAATTCCTGAGATGACAAATTTTAAGATCAGCCAAACTGCAAGAGATTCCAAGGTGTATACTCAAAAATCAAATCTCTGCATCTTTGCAATTTTTTCTTTAATCATTCAAATATTGCAAAATATAAATCTGCTAAGTCACCTCAAATATCCACTTTGAAAATGAAGGTTTGCCACCAAATACAAATAAAGTTCAATTTCCTGTAGGCTTTTAATATACTCTAGAACTCTGTAATAGTTTTTAACTTAAGAAGTATGGCAAATAACTCTCTAACAGTTTTTAATCCAAGTATGATAAATAGAATTGAAATAAATTAGTAAACTGTAAGCAGTCCTCAAAACTTCATGATGTATTTTCAATTCTACAGCAACTCCGCAAGAATTTCAACTTCCACATATTAACAACAGGCTACATGAAACAGCTAGGGCTCAGAGATGTCTGATTTCAACAGCCTATTTCCTTGAGGTAAAGGAGAAAGATGAGGAAACACTTCTCATTAGCCACATCAACCTTTACAGCAGAGGAAGCAGTATGTGTCATTTCACAGGATGTACTCTACGTGAAAAGAATTTGTGACCATTTAATGTAAACAGAAGCCATTTAGAAGTGAAAAGTTCCTGCTCAGACACAATTTCCTCTTTCCATCCATCCTTGAAAGTAGCCATTTTTAGGTGAACTGCACTCTGACTTTTGAAACAGATATTAATATAACTATGGACAATAACTAGCCACCAGTAAACTATTCAATGGCCACTGTAAATATGCCCACACTTGATCAAATAAATCCGAACTTTTGTAAAGTCAATGCTGATTACTGCACACCGGTTCCCAATCTGTCCAGGCCAAGATGACTTTTCCCTGAGCCCATGAGGAAGTAAGCACTCCACATGCCCAGTCCCCTCCTTTGGGCTGCCACCCACCTCCTATGACCTGACCCCTGCATGACTGCAAAGCAGACCCATCACGCCCACAGGCTCATACCAACCTCAGCATGAGCAATACAGCCATGAAATATGAGAAAAAAGGAAAAATAAGCCAGGAGGGACAGCAGTCATAAGCTGAAGGTGCCACCTTCCTGGTGGGCAAGGAAGAAACAAGCTATGTTGTTCAAAATATTATATTAGAAAGTATATGTACTTACAAGGAACTAAGAAAGTCAGCTACTCAGAAGACAAGGGCAGAGAGGCCAAAAATAGATTAAGGAAGAATGTGCATCTGTGTCTGGCATAGATAAGCAATTGCTACCCTGCTGAGACCCCCAACTGAATTTAAAAAGAGGAACACAATGTGTGGTGCAGACCATACCAGTTTCTCCTGAGGTCGGGGATGGTGGTGGGGTGGCAGCAGTCACACTGTGTTTGTCCCAGACAGTCTCCAAGATACCTACCAAGAAAGGAGAAACTGAGTTTAAGAGAGAAATGAAACCTAACATATAAAAATCAGATTTAGAAAAACAATGTATTGATATATTTGATCAAGAATCAGTATTTAAACATCTGTCTCTATGTCTAACTGCTTTTTCTGGACACCACCACTTGGATATTCCAAACTCAATTTATCTTTCCCCACAAACCTGCCACTAATATTCTCATGCTCCTGACCAGTCAACAGTACCATCCGCACAATCTCGGCATCTGGCATCTGCTCTCCCCGTCCGGCCTCACCCCCACCCCACACGCAGGCTTCATCACACTGCACTATTTACTAGCTGTTCCTTTCTCATGTGTTCTCCTTCTTAACCTCTGAACTGCTCTCCCCCTTCCAATCCAACTTGACCTTTCACCAGACTAACTAACTGCTACATGTCTGTCTCTCAGAATCCCACTCAGCTGTCACCTCCTCCAGGAAGTCTTCCCTGCTCAGTTTTGCCTGCACATAAAACATACCTCTACCATGACTCTTAACACATTGTCTTTCTCCCGTACTAGAGTATACATTACTAGAGGGCAGGGATTATGTTTTATTCCTCTTTATATCTCCTTACAGAACCTGGCATATAAGATGATCATAAAAGCTTTTAAAAATATTTTGTTCTCAAAATATTTAATATTATAACATGGAAAACATTGAAAATATCATGTTAAGTAAAAGAAGCTAGACACAAAAGGTCACATATTCTATGATTCTATTTTTATGAAAAGTCCAAATAGGAAAAACCAGAGACAGATAATACACTAATGGTTGCCAGAGGTTGGGGTGATGAAAATGTTCTGGAATTAGACAATGTGATAGTAGCACAACCTTGTGACTATATTAAAAACCACTGAGCTGCTACACTTTAAAATGGTAGATTTTATATGTGAATTATATCTCAATTCAAAAAATTTTAGTGTCCGCAAAAGTAGGACACAGAGATATCAGACATAGTCCCTAACTCCAGAAATTTAACATCTAGTTGTGGATGTCAATAAATATGCTCTGAATGAATAAATGCTCTGAGGTTCGGGTTTCCCCTAGGGATTTGGGGAAAGATGGAGGTGGTGGTAAATGACAATTTTACTTTTAATCAAAACACTCTTATAACCAATTTTAAGTGCCCACCTCATGACGACTGCTTTTGTAACACATGCAAAAAAAAAAAAAGTCCCTAGATATCCAAGAAGCAGCCTGAGTAGAAGAGCTGGAGACAGAAACCCTTCTGGTCCCTACAACATTCCCTCCAGCGCACGGCTCAGCCTCATGGCCCGACACCGCCCAGAACCAGCAGCTCCACCGACAGCACAGTGGGCATGGCCCTCGCCCTGTCGCCCTCGAGACACAGGGGCTCTGTTCTCTTCCTACCTTCCTGTCTCATTCTGCAGTTTGCTTTCTGTTTATTCTTAGTCTTCACTCATAGTCACGAGGCTCTAACGCAACAGACCAGATGACAAAGCAAACGCTATACACAACTACAACCTGGCGCACAGGGTACTGACTCCACACCTGGTCTCACTTCCCTACTCAGAATTCGAAATGTTTACGTCTTCCTCCTCCTCCTCCAACTTCTCCTGATTTAAATTCAAATCATCTTAAGTAAAGTGCCTGCCACCCACCTTACTCAGAATGCAGTAATCAGCATTTCAATCACATTTCTATAACCCGGTCTATACCACATTAATCATGGCTATAGTGAGGACCAAATAATCAAAGACTTTAAAAGGAAAATAAATTACAAACATTTTTTGAGATCCTACCGTGTGCTAGATACTGGGCTAGGTGCTGGGAATATGGCACCACATTCTTTGTGTTTTTACGTTCGGTCTCAGTAACAGCTAAGGCAACTGCTCAAAATTCTGAGTGCCAGGGCCTGCACTCCGGGCATCTGCAGGCAGGCCTCTGCCTTCTGGTGCCACCCAGCTGCTCACCTGTCAGTAGCCCAAGCACTGTCTGCACCTGTTCCAGCAGCAGCTTTCGCAACTCCTCCTTCCGAGCCACGCTGAGGTCCTCACGGGGACAAGCCAGCTCTTCTGAAGTTGTCTTCAACATGATCAGCCCGAGGGGAGTTGTCACAGGGGACTGGATCAACTGCCAGGAAAAAGTAAGTTTCTGAGCAGAGTGCCTGGCTAACTAAGGTACAAAGAAGACTGACGAATGGTGAACCTACGAAGTACAGTCGTCCCTCGGTATCCGTGGGGGGGAGGGGGGGGGTGTTCCCAGGACCCCCGTGGATACCAAAATCCAAGGATGCTCAAGTCTCTTATATTCAATGGTGTAGTGTGGTCAGCCCTCATACAGGAGGGCTCAAATCCTGTGGATATGGAATGTCAACTGTACCTCTGTGTGTTTAATCTTACATGAACAGGCTACATAAATCAAACCTTTAGAAAAATGACTGAGTACACTTATGTACCTTTTTAACCATTCAAAATATATTCTCATTTTATTTTAAAGACAGAATTCTAAATAACACCATGAACTTAAAAACAACAAGAAAGCAATGCTCTTTTACACCTAACATGACAAATTTTTATACATGTCCATACTCCCAACAGAGCCTTGGTTACTCTGCCCAGGTTACTATATTAGTGATTAAGGTATGTGTAAACCAATTTGTGATATCTTTCCAACATTCAGGTGTTAAATCAAGTTTACAGTTCCAAGCTTTGAATGCTTCATAAGAGTTCAAGATTAAACATGTGGCAGAGCAGAAACACACATACACGTCATTAAACTATGATACTGATATGGTTAGGACTTTGCAAATACCTACGTAGCAAATTAAGATACTTTTTCTATCACCTGCAATATCCACTATGCCATAGGAAAGTTTCCTTAAACAAGAGACGACAAAAGGTACACTTTCAAAAGCATAACACTACTTATACCTTTCTTATCAATTTCACAATATTCAAAGCATTTATTTTTTAGTTTCCAGAAATGGTAAAAGTAATCAAGGTACCATTAAAATCCTATTGGGTTATATGCTACAATCTATGAAAGAGCAAACAAATTAAAAAACATGACCATTTTCTTTAATCATAGTTAACTTTAAATGTAGTTCATTCCCTGATAAAATTAAGTTTTTTATTTACTCAATCTATAAAATATAAGCCTTAGGGAAGAGGAGGTCAGGAACTACACCCAGATAGAAAGGATATTCTCCACTTCAAAAAACACAGTTGTCCTTGAAAACAACTCTTCCCATTGCAGACCAAGGAAAAGCACATCCCGGAAGAGCAGGACTCACTCAACTGCCCTAAGCAGCAAGCAATAGTGTGTTGAAAATGCTCTCTATTAAATCAAGTACATCCTCCACAAGTTTTCCCTTCATTTGCTACAAGTTCGGGCTATTTCTAACACCGACTTAAAATTCAGATAATGCAGTAGGGGAGAAACAGGAAATCCCTCCTCTAACAATTTTTCTTTACATGATAAAGTGAACAGAACTTTATAAGCAACCCTTTTCACTCAGACACCTTTGGATTATCAATCTGTATTTTAAAAGATTTCCATTACTTCTCCCCTTTCATTTCCTTCTTTCTCTTCCACCCCTTTTGTCTCTATTTTCCTCCAAGACCTCATTCTTACTCTCTCAGCTGGGAATGACTCACTACCAAATAGTCCACTGGGCAATATTTTCCTGTACATATGAAATGCTCCTGTGCTCTCCAGAAATAAAAAATCCCTACAGTATGGAAAACGTATCTTAAAGGTCCTCCTTTCTCTCATCATTTGGGAGAAGGGAAGAGTCAGGCAAGAAGCTGGCTGAAAATGAAAGTTATTCTTTACTTGAAAGAACAGCCTGATAAAATGTGTAATTTTCCTTCTCACTAGCTTTGTTTCCAGAAAGCTTTTTATTAAAAGAGTGTTTCCTTGCACCATCTTCATATACATAATTAAAGCTCATGACATAGGTAATCTCTGCAATTTATTTTAATACAGAATAAGCACCTTCAGGTTGCAAATCAAGTTCAGGTGCTTAGTGTTAGCTTCAGAAATTTTTATCATACCAGCCAATCAGAGAAGAAACATCAAAATTCTTTCTATGCTTCTTTTCGATGCTTGCCCCTTAAGTATGACCAGAAGGCCAGCTCAACAGATTCCAGGACTCTGAAGAACAGACTCTAGAAAGGTGTGATGTACGTGCTAGTGCAGGTGGCGGGGGGAGGTGGGGAGAACAGGGGTCGGTTCTCACTTCAACGATTCCTTCTCCAGTGGCCTAGAAAGGCTATACCAACACACAGAATTGCAGGTATCTTTCTGGGGCCCAAAATCAACTCATCTTTGCCTGGTATGACGGTCATCATAATTATGGCATAAAGTGCACAGATGCCCCAGGCCAAATGTTACAGAATTAAAAAAAAAAAAAAAAGGCTATGCACCCCAGACCGCAGGCCATAATGGAACTAAGCCAAAAAAACCTTTCAGATGGTTTAATCAACAGATCATATAATTGTGAAGTTGATTCCAGAACCAGTTTGGTCTTGTTTACCAATGCCTGAAGAAAAGATTTTATTATCATTATCAGAAATGTCAGCAATTTAGCACCAATCATTCTTGACATGGCTTTCATGCCACTGACTGGTTCTCACGCATGAATAAGAAGCGGGGAATAATACAACTGGAAAGAATTTTAAAGATCACTTAGCCCAATCCTCTCATACACAGAAGGAAACGGAGGCTCACATAGGAGTTACTAAAATCAAGGTGATCTGTGACAAAAATGGACACAGACCCCAAACCCACTGCCTCCCAGTCCAGTGCCCCTTCCACTATGGGGTGTTTCAAAGTCATGAAGGCTGCACGGGGTGAAAGGAGTCATTTCTGAAGGGTGGAAAGCGGGAGGTGGTGGGCAAGAGAGGAAGACAGCTACCCTTTTGAAATCTCCATGAGCACCTCACCTAAAAATGCTCTTCCAAATTCTCATTTATCATCATTAATCATACTTCATGGGCAGACAAGAAATGTCTGCTTTTCACCGAAGGAAATGATCCCAGCTGGGCGAAAACACGGCTTCTCCTCACTGTTGCCGACAGGACTTGGCTCTCTGTCTGGCTCACATTCCACTGCTGCTTCACACAAGACACACCACTGACCAACCCAGGATGGAATCCACTCAGACCCCCCCACCTTCCTGGTTCTTTCCATCTCCATGGACTTCCTGGCTCCCTCTCAGAGAGCCATGGAGACTTACCACAACTGCTTTTCAACTTGGAGTGAAAGCAAGCGTGTCAGAGAGAGCCAGCAAAGCCTCTGGCCTCCTAACCCACCACTCCAGGCTCCCCGCCTCCTTGCCATTCCTCGAGTTCTTTCCACTGTTATTCCCTCTGCCTACAACACTGTTCCCCTGGAAGCCCACATGGCTCACTCCATCACTTCCATTCAGTTTCTGCTCAAGAGTCTGCTTCTCAGAAAAGGCTTCCATGATCGTCCCATCTAAATAACACCTCTGATATTCACTCCTCCCCACCCTAGATTTAGTTTTCTCACAATACTTATACCTGCCTGAAAGAATTTATTTGCTTATTGTTTACTGATGCCTCCCCCTTGGGATTATAAGCTCCATGAAGGCAGCTATTTGTTCATTACTATATCCCCCCACGAACCTAGTTATTAGTACATGGCTGGTATTCAACAAATAGTTTATGGAATAAATGCATGAATCTCCTTTACAATATCAATTCAATAAATCTCTAGATAAATGAATCACCATACAAAACAAAATAATATTGAATGAAGAATTTCTGTGCCACCTTGAGAGGTGATCCAAAAGAAGCAATATTGACGCTGAATTTTTTAAATTGCTGCATCATTCAAACGGTTTGCAGTGAGAGCAAGCAGAACATTAGAAAATGGTATTGTTCCAGAAGATTCTACCATCACTAAGACTATAACCAACTTTCAAAGAATTTTATTTCTATAATCTGTACATAATACCCATTTCCTACATACCCAGACTGCCTCGATAATATAAACATTTTCAACTTTATCACAGGAGTCAAATGAACAAAAGCATCGCCCTCTTGGCTTTTAGGTCCCCCCGATTCCCTGATGACTTCCAAATCCTGAACCCCAGATCCACATTTCCTAATGTCTCACTAGACGTGCACAGAAGGAACACGCAAATCTTAAATGCATTTTCTGCCAAACTGAATTCACCATCTTCTACCCAAACCCATTTCCTCAGATGGCCTAGAAAATCTGCCATCTGAGCCAGGAACTTGGAAGGCATTCTAGCTTCCTCCTTCCCTCCTCCCTACAACCTAGTCCCTGCCCAAAGCCTCCTCCGTGCCTCGCTGCTGTCCAGCAGGTAAGCCCCGGCTTGGCTCAGGCCCCTGGGCTCACTCAGACTTCTCCAGCAGCAGCCTTCCAGGCCTCCTTCGCTCCGGCCTCACCCCTCTGCAATCCAGACTCCACACTGCTGCTGAAGTCGTCACTCCAACATCAACATGTGGCCACGTTGTCTCCCTTCTCCAAACTTTTCATTAGTTCTCGAGTAAGGACTGTGAATTAAACACTGATGCCCCCTGCAAACGCAAAGCCCTCCCTGCTCTGGCCCTGTCCATCAGCCTAGCCTCTCACTCTACCACTCAAGCCACCACCTCGCATCTCATCACCAGCAACACTGAAAACACCTCAGCTCCTTGAGTCTAAATGCCGTGTCCTCACTGCACCTGGCACAATACTTCGCTACAGTCATTAACATATTGTTGGGTCATTATTATTTCTATCGCTTTCTCCCCACTAAACTCTAACTATCGAAGGCCTCATCCTGGCACCCAACACCTGGCACGGTACCTAACAGGCTTTCAAATACTTGCTGGACAAAATTTCACAGGAGATTAACAAAGTGATTGGGGTTCCCATCCCCCACCTTCTCCACTGCACCAAGGTACAACATGTCTCAGGAACACAAGGTTAAGTGAATGAGATAATCCACCCCACAATGACCTCACCACTGCAGTTCCAAAATGCTCATCTTAAAAATCCTCTTCAAGACAAGAAAATAATCACTTCTTCAAACAAATTATTTACAAGATAAAATTTCCGTAGGTTATCTCCTTACCTGTAAAATGTTAGTAAAAAAGTCATGGTAGAACATGGGCCAATCTTGACGGCCAATGTCAACAATCACTTTGCAGAGCTTGTTCCGGATGAAGTAAGGTAAGGTTTTGTGGTGAGCCAAGAGGAGTTTGGGCAGGCAGCTACGGATTTCCATCTTATCCTGAGATGGGACCCCAAGCCACATTTTATTGATCAGATTCTGAAAAACAAGTATACATCTTGTAAGTTAACAATCTATACACAAAACAAACTGGTTTTCATCCAACAGTAGCTATCTCCCTCAAACAAGAAACTCTGCTTTTAAACAAAAGTTTGGAGCAATGTGGCAATGAGAATAATAAAACATGCAAATTTTATGATACATTAATCCCATTCATAGGAACATAATTTAACAGCTACATAATTTAACAGAAACAAAAAGGTGTAGGTGCAAAAACTTTCTATAACACCATTGTCTCCACCAAAAAATAATGACAGAAACAACTTTAATGTAAGAATAGGAGAATGGCTTGGTGAATAATGGTACAACCACTTATAGGACTATAATATAAAGGTAAGTGAGGGGAAAAAAACAGAATGCAAAATGAAATGAGCAATATGATTATAATTAGGTTTTTTGAAAAAAAAGTGTGCACAGGAAGGCAATGATTGGAAGAGAGTTGAAAGAAATGAAGATTTTTAATGGGTATCATCCCTCCTCCCAACTGTTTTTCTTTAATCACCTTTCTCTTTTAAATGATAACATGGAAGGAAAAGTTATATGTTACCACAAACGACCTCCCGACCTCACCTATCTTACCTTTTGGTGCTGAAGATGGAAAGATGCCCTGGAAAACCTGACATCTTGACAAAGGCAGTATATGGGAAGAAGCCCCTGAGATGAGTTACCACTATTTCCCAGCCATGTACACATCAAAACTAAAGTCTAGTGCCAATAACAAGGCAACGTGACTAAAAAATACTCTTCAGAATAGTATAAAAGTATCTGACAACTTACCTCAAAAACCGTTAAACTGTACATCATTACATAGTCATTCCTAGTGCTGGAGAGAAAATACAGGCAGAATCTCCAGGCTCCTATTTGCTGAGCAAAGTTATTAAGAAGTTCCTCTGGAAAAGTTAAATAGCAACAAGAGAAGGCTATGAAAATACACAAAATTAATATAAGGCTGGCTGTTTTACTATTTTTTTTTAAACACACCTCTCCCACATAATGTAATGACGTCAAAACCAACTACAAAATCCAGCTGATTCTTCCAAGATAGAAAGGACAAAGCATACAATATTTTTCTGACTCTGAGGTGACCATGAACACTGACACCTAAATAACAATAACCTAGCTATGGACACCTTTTTTTTTATGGGCACTATTTTAGGTAGAGAAACTTTCAATGCTGAAATTCTTAATCTAATGTGTAGACAGACAGATAGAAGAGTATCATTTTTACCTTACAAATGATGGCCAACTGGTAACTTACTTCCTCTGGGGTACAGCTATATGTTATCTCCTCATCACTCACTCAACACTGTTCTTACACACTTATACACACACACACACACACACACACACACAAAATGATGGCCAGAAAAGCAGGAAAAGAAAAAATTAAGACTAATCTTATAAATGCAAGATTGGAAAAAATGCAAGAGAATTCAAGATGGCTAACTCCCTTCATCTGAGTTGGTTTTATTTTAAAATATCACCCAGGAGTCGGCAAACAAGAGCGGCAGTCATGGGAGTTGCCAGGAACCACCCTGGGCACCTCAAATCAGTTAGAAGTGGTTTTCTTCCTCCTGAGGCTGCTGGACAGACAGCAAGCATTAACAGTCTATCACCGTGTTTCTGGACATACTGCCCTTTAGTCACCATGACCTGCTGCGCTGGTCATAAAATATAACACAGAGTGGGTAAAAATACAAAGGCAACAAACCTGCGAGATTCTAGGAAGCCCTTGGAAAAGCAGCAAGCACTGTAGCCCGTTCTAACCCTAAAGTCACTGCTCTGCCAGTGCCCTACAACTCAGGCTAAGTGCACCAAGGCAGTCTCATTATAAATCCCATAAAGGAAGCTGATGGTGTGTTCTTATAATTAAGCAAAAGTTTCTATGACTCCCAGAGGTGAAGTCCAACCAGAGAGTGATCTCTGGCTGGAAATGAGGAACTCTGGACTCTGTTCTAGACTTTGCCACTAATTCACTGAGTCTGATCCCAAGCAAATCACAGCTCCGCTTTGATGCTTCAGCCTTCTCCACTTTTAAAAATGACCAGACTGTCTCGAGGCTCCCTGCTAACAGCTCTATCTCTAGAGCACTTTTAGTGGAGGATGCGTGGAGACCCTATAATAAAAGGTCTCCCTCCTTTCTCCCACCTAGCTAGGAAAGACTTTAGTTTATCCTAAGACATCAAAAAAGAAGCAAGAAGTGGTTCCAGCCCACACACTCAAATAAAGCTATGGAGACTAGGTACAAAAAGAACTAAGACACGCCTACTACCAAACCCCCGGATTCTCCTTAGCCGGCATTTAAATTAGACTTTTGTAGCATCTGGTTATTTAAAACTATTTAAAAATCAGATTAGAATAAAAATATGTTAAAAAGCTTCCACTTTTAATTCATGAACGCTGAGGTGAACAACATTAGCTTTACAATCCAAAACTTAAAGAGAAAAACCAAAAGCATATCAGTTATAAGCTTAAAACAGGACTATGGAGAAATTAGATATAAGGGAAAGGTCCTTTGGTAAACCTCCTTTGGTAAAAATCACCACTGATACTTTTACTATGAGGTACTTTGGTAGCATAAAACTAACAAGAGGCTCACTCTGGGGGCAAGAGGTGGGTCAGCCCAACTGACCCACCTCTCTCTAATAAGAGAGAACCTAGGGAAGCAAGCAGAGGGGATCTTCTAAGCCAGATGCCTGATCATCTGCTGGGCTCAGCTTCCGTCAGTATCCCCTGTTTATAAACTCTCTGGTTCCCTACAGCACAGTCCCTCAGAAAAGAAGGCATATACAGGGCAGGCCCACAAGAGACCACCACATTTAAAAATAAGAGATAAGAAGCTACATCCACCGGGAGCTAATGTGATACTCAAAGGATTCAAGGGAAAATGGGCTGCAGCCAAAGATTTACTAGCCACCTGAAAATCCAAACGCTATTCAAGCTTTGGACCAAGGGCAGAAGTCAGCCGTAACACTGAGCTGGCTAACATGACTTAGAGAATCCAGGTGGGACAGAGAAATGGCTCTGCAGAGACCTGGAGACACAGAAAAAAGCCTCCAAGGAAATGAAAGCAACGAAGGTCAGTACAGAGCAGTCAGACACACACGGGAAAGCCTCGAGGTTTGGATCAAGAAAAACATTTTTCATCTTCAAGTTCAGGGCTTAAGTGAGGACTCAGAGAGAAAAAGATTACTCTAGGACTTCAGTGCAGCATGTCCCTGAAGCAGAGCTCTCACAACTTAAATAAACCTTCTAGTTTACAGTATACTTTAATGAATATTGTGCATGTCAGTGAGTATAAAATTCAAAAAGAGGTTCTAGAAGGTGCCAAGGTTCCCAGAAGACCTGAAATTATACCTACATCTCTCTGCTGTTTGAAGCCTTGATTCAACAAAACTTGCAGAATGAGAGCGATAACAGTGGCAATAAGGAAAAAGCAAGAAGGTCCCAAAGGATACACCCGTTAAAGGATCTCTGGGCACCAGATGAGGTTCAGGATAGACTTCTACACACCAAAAACATGTTTGTTTTAATGCTTTCACGAGTTTTTTCTTTAAATTAAGTCACAGACATCTTATAAAAGTTTAACATTGCTAAAATTAAGAGCAAAGCAGGGGTAGGGGTTTCCACACATGGCCAAAGGAAAGAAAATCCATCACTATGGATTATAGTGGGCTCTGCCGACTACAGCCCTTGCAGCTAGGTTTGTACACCTCACCAGCCACCAACCAGCAGGACTGGAGCAAAAGGAGCCAGAATTCAAGGGGAAACATGCAGGCTTGACCAGGCTGCCAACATCAAGGCTACCAACTCCTTCCTCCCATTGGGGCCTTTTCGTTATAAACGACTCTTTACTACTCAACATTTCACTTACCTATCTCACGTTTTCTTTCATTGGTTGTACAGTCGTGGAAAAACTCTGTCATCAGACTTTCTAGTGCCCTGAGAGAGGCTTCTTCAGATGCCTAACCAAGAAATTTGAAAAAAAAACAAACAAAAAAAATCAGTAGCTGTATTTTCAGTTCTACTGTTCTTCAGTACCTTCCAGGTCACATTCAACAGCCATAGTAATTTACTTCCTCAAAACATCCTGGTTCAACATTCTTCAAATACATGATATAAGCCAGAAAAACTGCAAGGAATTTCCCAGCTGACTCAAAACCCAAAGTTTTAGTATACTCTATAAATTCATGCTACCGTGCTATCGATTTTCAATTATTTATGCTAAGGAAAAGAGAGCAAATAATTTAAAATTTAATTCTGGAAACATACTGAAAGCAAATTAACAGCCCCTGGCCCTGACTGAATAGGCAGAATGAAGAGATTCAGAAAGGTTAGGGTGCCTTATAGACTATCCATCAACATTATTTGCCCCATGTCTGAAGAGTTAGCCATATTCTAATTCAGAGCAACTGTAGTCAAACTGCTGCATGGATTCCTGGGGCTTTCTGAAGGGACTTCAGGAGCCAAACATCCACTCAACTCTCAATCTCACATGAGCAGTCAACAGAGATTAAGGTGCAGCTAAGAGCCAAGCAGAGCAAGGACTCAAAATGAGACAGTACCTCCCACCCTCAGGCCCACAGAGAGCCAGACTCTCAGCAGAACCACTCAGGCGGAGAATAAGAGGAGAGGGACCCTAAGCCCCCTAAGGCTCATCCTCTCCCTTTTCCATACAGAGCCCCAAACCCACTTCCTCTTCTCTCACTAAAGGAGGGGACATCAGGTGCAGCAATGAACTTAAGTCAACACTCCTTCACATAACCAGTCTGCAACAAGGTGAGCATTCGCAGGCCCCTTTCGAATCCTCACTGGCAATAATCTACCTAGAGATGATCAGGAGCCAACAGCAGTTTTGATTTCTTAATCATCTCCTAATTTCCTTCTTCCCACCCACCTTCCCCATATCCTCTCCACTGCCCCTAGAGTGAGAGCTGACTATTAAAACTGCATTTTAAAACAAGCCCACAGGGACTTCGCTGGTGGTAGAGCGGTTAAGAATCCGCCTGCCAATACAGGGGACACGGGTTCAATCCCTGGTCCGGGAAGATCTCACGTGCCGTGGAACAACTAAGCCCGTGCGCCACACTTCTGAGCCTGCGCTCTAGAGCCCATGTGCCACAACTACTGAAGCCCGCACGCCTAGAGCCCGTGTGCTGCAACAAAGACCCAATGCAGCCGAAAATAAATTTATTTAAAAAATAAATTAAAAATAAATAAATAAAATAAGCCCACACTCAAATGTATCATGTATCAAGCTGCAATATTACCAGGGGCCTCCATTTGGTAATGGGCTTTTGAGGACACTGAGGAACTTGGGCCATTTCTGTGGATCAACGAGCACTTCTTAGGACTGGCACTAATTACAGAGGCTGAATCAGGCTTGCACCAGCCCACCTACATCAACCAGCACATGTTAGCACACTAGACAGCACATGGGGGGGCCACGTTCAAGCGGTGCCAGGCACAGCTGTCGCTCCCATGCTGCAGTCATGGTGACAGCTGTGCAATGACAGCTGAACTCTGACATGTTGAGTGATGAATTATTGTTTAATAGTTCTAGTACTTGTGAGTTTGAGGGACTTTTTTTCTTTTTTTTTAAATTTAATTTTATTTATTTATTTTTGGCTGTGTTGGGTCTTCATTGCTGCGCGCGAGCTTTCTCTAGTTGCGGCGAGCGGGGTCTACTCTTTTTTTTAATTTATTTATTTATTTATTTTGGCTGCATTGGGGCTTCGTTGCTGCGCGTGGGTTTTCTCTAGTTGAGGCGAGCGGGGCTACTCTTCGTTGTGGGCTTCTCATTGCGGTGGCTTCTCTTGTTGCAAAGCATGGTCTCTAGGTGCGTGGGCTTCAGTAGTTGTGGCATGTGGGCTCAGTAGTTGTGGTGCACGGGCTTAGTTACTCTGCGGCATGTGGGATCTTCTCGGACCAGGGCTCGAACCCATGTCCCCTGCACTGACGGGCGGATTCTTAACCACTGCACCACCAGGGAAGTCATGAGGGACTTTCTGGTCCGAATTTTATGATAAATATTAGCCCTGTGCTCTTTTCAAAAACCAATATATCAGTTCAACTAAAAAATACCCTTGGATTGCAAGTTAAGCTTTTTAATGCAGAAATAACCGGAATGTGGAACAAAAATAAGACTGCAATCTTCTTTAACCTGTTTCAAGTTTTTGTGTTGATCAAAACAGCCTCACTGTTCTCAGTGACAGATTTTCTAAGTGTTATAAATTCATATTTCAAAATGAATTTGTATAAATAAAAGAATGCTTCAGTCTGCTTCATGAATCAACTTGGTGTACCATTTCATTTGAAAAAACAATTTTTAAAAATGTTTGTGGGAAGATTTAAAAGAATCAAAGGAAAATCTCCTATGTTAAAGTAACTTATTGGCAAAGAAATAAACATAAATCAAGACATATTTCTTGAACCAAAATCAGCTATTTAGTCAAAATAAATCTATAGTTTTTCTGGAGCTAAAATAGGTTCCTGAACACTAAAGATACATCTTCAAGTCACACCTGCTACACAACTTATTCTTTTTTTTTTTTTTTTGGCCGTGACGCGCAGCATGTGGGATACATAGTTCCCTGACCAGGGACTGAACCCGGGCCCCCTGCAGTGGAAGCGTGGAGTCTTAATCACTGGACCGCCAGGAAAGTAAGTCTCTCCACAACTTATTCTTGGAATGAATCATTTTAGAGCAGATCCTGGAAAAAACCTGAGCTTATCACATTCAGGCAATCAACTGTCAAGGTTTATTTCATATGGGTTCTTGAGGCAGAAGTTTGTGAACTTGACAATTACAGGCCATACATCAAAGGCTGCTGAAAGCAAGTCTCTGACTCCCCAGAGAATCCAACCCTATCTCCATTCCCGGTCCCATCAACCTCACCCCTCCCAGCTCCAACCCAAGCTAACATTCCCAAAGAAAGTGGAAAGACAAAAGTATCCACAAAAATCACAGGATGATAGTCTCACCTGATTTTGTAAATGATGGTTATACGAAAAAGGAAACTCTAAAACCTAATAATCCAGTGGCACACCAGGTGTTTCTCAGCAAGAACAAATAACATGCTGTTTGCATTTTCAATCATTTCGATAACTGCAACAGGAATACCTACCCCATGGGGTGTTAGGAGGAGCAAATGAAATGCTCCATGTAAAACTGATATGTAAATTACACGAGGTTATCTAATTCACAGTTATGGCTGTTATCATTTTTATTTGGTCTCAGATACCAAATGAAAACAGACCAAAGCAAAACAACAAAAGTGGTCAGGCCTACTTTGAAACTGGAGATTCATGCCTTCAGGCTTATGGGCTTTGTCCCAAACATTATCTCGTGGGGCTTTTTTCTAACTGGATTTCAAAACAAAACTATCTTGAGGAGAAGAAAAGAAGGTTGAGACTTTTCCAGGATCATACAATCAGAACAGAGCTATAAAGACATAAAGGAGGGCTTCCCTGCTGGCGCAGTGGTTGAGAGTTCGCCTGCCGATGCAGGGGACACGGGTTCGTGCCCCGGTCCAGGAAGATCCCACATGCCGCAGAGCAGCTGGGCCCGTAAGCTACGGCCGCTGAGCCTGCGCGTCCGGAGCCTGTGCTCCTCAACGGAAGAGGCCACAGCAGTGAGAGACCCGCGTACCACAAAAAAAAAAAAGACATAAAGGATATGTTCAAGACCTGCAAATGGTTGAAGGATATTGGAGAATTAGCACCATTTGGCAAGAAGGCCACTGGACCCTTTGCTAGCTGTTTTAAGCAGGTGGTGAAGCCAGAATTCAGACGGCAGTGGGTTAAGAAATTAGTGGCCTACTGAAGCCCACGTGCCTAGAGCCCATGCTCCACAACGAGAAGCCAATGCAATGAGAAGCCAGTGCACCCCAACAAAGAGTTGTCCCCACTCGCCGCAGCTAGGGAAAGCCCACGCACAGCAAAGAAGACCAAAAATTAAAAATAAATTTATAAATAAATTTATAAAAAAAAATTAGTGGCAAGTAAGTATCAACACATGGAATATTCCATACAGACTGCACTTTCAAGTTATAAAAGGACAAAGACATTTAAAAAAAAAAAGTGTCATGGTGTGGTAGGAAGAGAGGTTTCAATTCAATTCCCAAAGGCTATTCAAGCAATGCTCTGATTAATTGATGAACAACATTCAGGATTCAGAGACACCTGACTGCTTCCCATCTTGGACTTGGGATTTAAGACCCAGATCTTGCAGAACTAAAAGACAAGGTTAGCTTAAAACCAAGAGAGGCACATTCACACACACAAAAAATTTCAGTTACGTGGCAGACATAAAATGTAAGCAGTAAAACAATAAAACTTCTAGAAGATAATACAGATCACCCTCATGACCCCGGGGTAGGGAAAAAATTCTTGGAAACACTAAACATAAAGGAAAAGATTGATAAATCGGAATATTCATCAGATGGCACAATGAAGAGAGTGTAAAAGAAAGCCATGAAATGGGTAAAGATATCACCAATATGGATAACAGAGAACTCGTATCAGAGTATAAAATAACTTCTACAGATCAATAAGGAAAAGATAAATAACTCAATTTTTTCAACAGGCAAATAGTTATAAAAGAGGATATCCAAAAAGCCGATACATAAAACAAGTGCTCAACCTCATTAGTCATCACAGAAATGTAAATTAAAAACAAGACAGTGCTACAAATCTACCAGAATGGCTAAAAAAAATTTTTTTTTTTCAGAATGGCTAAAATTTAAAAGACAGTAACAAGTATTGGTGAGTATGCTGAGCAACTGGGACATGCACACGCTGCTGCTGGTGGGACTATAAACTGGTATAACCATTTTGGAAAATGAACATATGCATACTTTATGACCCTGTAATTCTACTCCTTGACAATATATCCAACAGAAATTTGGATACCCCACAAAACATACACAGATATTCACAGCACCATTATTCATAATAT